CAAAGGGAGACAAGTGAATCTGTCCGCCTGGAGAGCCGTGCCAGGCATCCAGGCTAGGGCTTGGCAACAGGCGAGCCACCTTAAATGAATTTAGAACCCCTCACAGTAAACTGTTTGGGGAATAAACTTGGGTCCTCCATCTTCAATTCTCACTCGTGCCCCAACGTGGTTTTTGACCTGCTTCCTGATACTCAAGGAAACCCCCTTTGAACAGCCAAGTAGTCACGATGGGAATCCCACTTTGGCATCACAGGAATCACCACCATGGCAAGATGGGCTGCTTGGAGTTTGGGCACATTGGCGGCTGTTTGCGATGCCCATCAGGCTGGGTAGGTTGTAAGGGTAGTTTAGATTTGTTTCTTTCAGTGGAAGCAAGGGGAGCCGGTGTCATTTCCTTATTTTGAGATGTAATTTCCTTATTTAGAAAGCCCCCTAGCTGTTTGTGTAGGTTATGCTTGAGCAGAACTGATGGAACATCAACCATGTTGAGGGGTGTCTTACTTAGAGGCAAACCCACTACTGGCCAGGATTCAGAGTTGGGTTGGGATCCCTTCTTTACCTTGGAAGGGCCCCCGAACACGTTGCTTGTCTTCCGACGTGCGTTGCATCACCTGCCTTGGGGAAGTCAGCCCCCCAAACCAATTGCTCAGGAAAGGGACATGTCGAAGCTAGCTGCCCAGTTTGGACATTATGTGGATGGACGAAATGCTGCTTGAAACTATGGGAATCCATTGCTTGGGAATTAACAAGGGAATCATCCAGGAACCAGGGATTCTTAGATGGTGCGAAATGGATTCCGCAGCTCTCCACAGGCGGGGGTAGCCAAAAAGAGGACACGCTCCAGTTTGGACATGCCATGCTCGCATTGCCGCACGCTACAAAGGCTGCTTGCCCTCCAGCAGTCCTCCGCAGACGCCATGCAGTCCATACGCCAAACCACCGCCGCAGCTCGGTTCAAAAGGCCCAAAGCCGATGAAAGTCCAAACCCACCTGCAGCAAACAAGCGACACCCGGGCAAATTGCAGGGTCATAGGGGCTACCCTAGCGCAGGGGGCAGTTCCGGGCATAGATGGGTGCTGCTGCCCTTTTGTTTCTTTACATGGGTGTGGGTCGGTCGACCTTTTGATTGTGACTCACCTGGGGTATTCCAATATTAGCTCAAGAAAGGGGTGTACCGGAGTCATCAAGCCTAATAACAGCCGCACAGGAGTTCCTTTGGGTCCCGTTTTGTGTGGATTGAACATCTCCTTGAATCTGCCACAAGTTTCCGCTTGGTGTGCTTGCTGCAGTTTGATTTCCATGTAATTTCCCCTCTTGCCAATGTCGCTTGAGTTTATTTTTCAGTAGGATGATGTGAACGGGTGACATGGAAGGAACTCTGCGGCAAAGGTTGGAGGGAGACGGAGGTATGTTCTTCGCGCCGGGAAAGCTGAAACATAGATAGCTAAGGTGCCGGGTTTGGCATATGTGTCCACAAAACCCTCGCAGAGGAGGAACTTCAATGTCCTTAACTCCAATTTGGCAAAGATGTGCTGAAAGAAATGTCCGTGGCGTCTTGCGCTTCTTGGAGGCTTCTTGGAGACACATTCCATCATTTTGCCCCTGGTTGTGATGGATTTCTTCTGCGTTTAAGGTGAAACAAACAGGGGCCCCGTCCTGTTCAGACAGACTCCTATTTGACTTGTATGGTGTATTACGTGGGTGGCCCTAGTAACTTTCATCAAGCCCAGGCAATGAACAAGAACACACTCACACATCTTCCTTGTAACGCGGAATTGTGGAACCGTGCCACATCCAACATGGTGATCAGATTCGAAATAAACGCAGAACCTGGTTCAAACTTCACCGCCAACTAGCAAAAGCTATGCAAAAGCTAAGTTGTTGCAGGGGGTTCTGAAGACCAACCCTATCAATCAAGCAGAGCTTCTGCGCTATCACAAACATTTGAGGAACACAAAGCTAAAGGCAGAGGGAAGGTCTGCCTTGTACTTGTGATTGTTTTGTGTGCTCAGTCACGTAATGAGATGTTCCAGGGATTTGGGCATTGTCAACTGGATGTCTCTACTTCAACCAGGGGTCCCCTTAGGCCACGCTTACCGGCAAGCAGCTGGTCGACGTGACCGCTGCGGTGCAGCGGGGCAACACGGCCCTCCAGGCAAACCTGGCTGCGAATTCGACTGCTTGCGCAGGGTTGCTTAAAGGTGCCAGCTCGGCCAAACTCACAACCATCTTAGGGGTTCTACATGAACCAGGTGACTTTTGTGTGTATGACTTTAAGGGGCCTGCTTTGCTGTGAATTGCCCGTTCGGGGCAAGCAAGTGTGTGGGAAGTTGACACCTCTACATCGGTTCCTTTTTGTCTTTGGGCCCCCCTTTGATCCCCAATGGATGATGCTAGAATAGGACCACAAAGTGGTCCTCCGATGGACATGGGGGCTGTGCCTGGCCGGCAAAATGCAGGGGATGGATGAAAAGCTGGCTCACACCAGTGGGGATGGACGAAAGCCTAGCTGTCCCACCAGTCCCAACTGGTGCGTGGGTTTGCCCATCCACTGGCTGTAGCCAACTCGGGAATGATTTCTCACTTCCCAAAAAAGCCAAGAGGAATGACGGCTGTTTAGCCAAACATGGCAGAGTTCAAAGGCTTTTCCTTTGTGCTTTTGTCCAAGCCACACAGCTGCATCTTGGGAGAAGCTAGTCAGGGATTCGAATCGATGGGCTCCAAAAAAAAAGATGGTTTCGCCGAAACCCGTACACAAGGGAAACCCCTTGTCAGGGGCTAAGCCCACGCTTTTCAAAGGCTGGTCGCATGGGCATGCATGAGCCCATGTCCAAGTGTTGGCTCGTTCGTGGCGGCCTCCCGCAAATTAAGCCAGAACTGGTGGTTAAACCCACGAACGGGTTTTCACTAAGCTTCATTTCTATGAACAGTACATTTGCCCCCCCCCCATTGTGCTACAATCTTTGCGGGAATCTCCCTTTGTAAGCCACCCTTTTCCGAGATTTCCCACCAAGCACATTTGGCCCGGAGGGCCCCTGATCTTTTGACCCTGATTCAGGTCTTCAAGCAGAGCACCGCCGGCACTTTTGCGGCTTGGCTCAGCATGGCAGTGGCAGGGGGTGAGGTTGCTGTGAATGAGAAGGCCCCGGACACCTGCAAAAGAAAACACCGCACCCGTGCTCACGCCGTGTGCTAACCCAGACTCAGCCAGCAATAGGCGAGTCAAGGACAGTTGTCATGCACTCTTCGGGGTGTACCATGTTGTAACCCGTATCTGGGGTATACGTAGGCCTCAAGGATCTGTGACACTGGGCTTGACTTTGGTGCGTTGATTGTGACACATGGAGTCTAAAAGAAGGGTACTCTATGGGTGGTTGAAAGTCCATTGTTCATTGAGTTGCTGTCCGGTGGAGTGACGTTCAGGACTAGGACGGGCATCATTTGGGGACGAAACTTCGTTTTTTTGGGGTTAGACTCCGTGACATATGGGCCCTATGTTGGAGCCGGGTGTTTTGTGAGTTGGGCGAACAAAAGTTTTGTGGACGCACTAGGAGCATGCTGGTTCTCGGAAAGGCACGTGGGAATGAGGTGGTCAAGCCAACCAGTGGCGGGGGAGTCGGAAAGCCGAGCCCCACCAAGCGGCGCAGGCAGTGCGGAAAGCACCACCGAGCCCACCAAAAGAAGCACCGCTAAGTACAGAGGAGGTAGGTGATGCAAAAGGTTGCCTTTGGGGATGGCGGCTGTGAGTAGGAGACCATCCCAATGATGCAGATGATGCGGGTGATGCGGGCGATGCAAAAGGCTTGCGCAGGCTGCTGAGAGCAGCCTGACAAGGTGCAGATGATGCGGGTGATTCATGAGGCAACTCAAGTTGACGCGGGTGATGATGCGAAAGGTAGTTTTGGAGGATGGCAGATGAGAGCACAAGACTTTCCCAGGGATGCAGAGGATGCTGGTGATGCCGGTGATGCGCGCACGGAGAAGGCAGCTTCGGCTTCGTCAGCTAAAATGTCATTCGAAGAATGGGATGGTCGTTTGTGATACCGGCCCCCTTTTGGGTGGAACATGGTCATAGTTGGATGGGAATCCCATGCTTGCATCATGAAAGCCACGCTGGTGCCCAGGAATTCCGGGGTCCATGTACAGTGAAACTGCAATTGCTTTTGGCGTGTGCAGCTTGATTCCAGTTCAGCAAATTTGCGGGGGAGATGGAAGTTGGACCCTAGCTGGGGGAGGCTCTTGTTGAATTCCTTCCTCAGGTTGAGGCATTTCTGTCCTTGCGCTCCGAGCTGCAGGGTGCCGAGGAGATGGATCGTCCGTTGGAAAGCCAGGGAGTTGGTAGCCCTTCCTTCTGAAAGTTGCCAAAGGGTTCACAACTCACTTGGCCAGGGCCGATCTCAGCCTCTTGATGATGAGAAATGCTTTTAGATAATTTGTGGGAGGATCATTTTAGTGGAAATGAGAGGCTCGGACTTTCTGTGGCCGATCCACTCAGGAAGTGAGACTAACTATGGGCCAGAATCCAAATTTGTGAATTTGGGTTGGGCAGCAAGAGCTGGGGTAGGAAGGGTGAATCTTCATCACCTGGAGGGACGGAGCCATCAAGGGCAGCTGGTTCATTTTCCAAGCTGGCAATTTTGGTAGTTGGGAAAAACACATCAGGACTCAGGACAGGTGAAGCTCCGAATGCCTGGTTGGTTTTGTTTTTCATTGGCAAACCAGCCATCACAGACATATAGGCGGGCCCCAGCTTTGGCACCTTGCAAAGAGGGTTATGGCCTCACCCATGAAGGTTCCTTTCAGAGACTTGTTACCAATTCACCAGACCACTGCAATGCCAGGACGCAAGACACACTGCCTTCATGTCCCTTTCGGGCTTCGCGCTGGTCATGGCCATCTTAGCGCCTTGCCAGGGGCAATCGGTTCGAGGGGTCATGCCAAGGGCTCTCCTGATCGCAGTGTCTTTCATTTGTCGGGTATATACCCCCATCACCGGCCTGCTCTGGGAAACGGACATTGCCAAGCGACCGCTGATTCCTTGGACCCATGTGCACATCATGAGAGTGAATATGGCTTAAGCAAGGAAAGTTGCCACCAAGCCTCCCACCACCTTTGCATCAACATCAAGCAGGCCAAGTGATGATGCGCTCAGGCGAACCTGGGGGCCATCATCTACGCCCGCCGGTCCAAGGCCAAGTACCCCAGTGCCACACCCTCCTGCGTCAGCTGGCCGGGCAGCCCAGTGAAAATGAGGCTCTTGCCCCATCAGGTACGTAATTTCTGTTGAGGGTACACTGTACACTTGCTTGGGATGGTAGCCTAAACTCCGCGTGGCTTTGCGGCATCCTCATACAGTGCTTTTGCAAGCGGATGGTACCTTTCTAAGCGATTCGGCTCCAGGAGGGCGAGCCCAGGCCTGCTGTTTCGCATACATGGCGCAAGGTCTCCATGAGAGCGTTGCTTTTAACATAGAGCCCCCTTGTTAATTAGATGAATTGAAAGTCGAGACAACATATCAGTGGCCTGGAGAGGGCGCGGTCCCAAATTGTGACACATTCCCATCAACCTCTCTTGGGCCCATCCTCCATTCAATTTTTTTTGGAGCCATGGCTCCCCGTCGGCGCCTGGCCATGTTTGCCTGCCTCGGCGCTGCTGTCGTCGGCTTCAGCGCGCCGGGGTGGTGGCGCCGGGGCTGGGCCAAGCGCCCGGGCAGCGTGGCGGAGGCGGAGCTCTTGGCGCAGCTGGCGGTGAGGCTGAAGCCCAGAGCCCAGCTCAAGGAGGGTCCGAGTGAAGCAGCTAACCCCGTGCAACCTATATGTTTCACCGTGGTTTGGTACGTGGGGTTAATTGATTCGGCTTTTTGTGTTTTGTTCATTTATATTTTGGGGGGCTTGCTCATTTGTAGTGTATGGAGTTGTTTTTTTCCCACTGGTTGTGCTATTTGTGTTATAACGGCGTTGCATCATTTAGATACGAAGCTGAAACGGAATGATGATCTTCGCTGGTTTTCGTTTTTCAGGCAGGCTAAGCACCCAGCATGTCGCAAGGTTTGCTAGTCGTTTTGGTGCTGAGCGTTCGGCTTCCCTGAACTCCTCGAGCTGAGTGCTTGCACCAGAAGCCTGGCGGGGCAACTACTTGGAACCGGATCTGGCGCTGCATGGGGTGATGAAAAGGCCAGATGCGGCGCTCTTTGTGGAGTATGATGGGCTGCTTGCCATGCCTTTCATATTCCTTCCGTGGAGGGTTTGGAAGTTTTTGGCAGCTGGGTTGGCTTTTTGTTTTGGGTGGATGCTTTTTTGGTTGGACGTTTTGCCTTGAACCTTTTTTGGGCAATGTGTGTTTGCCACTTAGCGATGACCAGTGAAACGATTGGTGCAGGGGTCATGGCCACCAAGCTAAGCCACAAGCTTACCAAGGACAACCAACGCAAGGCGTGCTTTGGGTTGTTGTGGGCTCTTGTTGTGAAGCCAGCCGTCCGAAGAGCGGGGATGCCTGTCTCAAAAGCCAAATTTGAGGTATTGGACGCACGCTAAAGAGCAAGGCATCGCCAGAGACACTGCAAAGAACGTGGCGCTGCTGGCATATGCACCCCCAGGGTCCTATGTCATACGTGTCAATCATGCTCCGCTGCAGTTCCTGGCTGGGCAAGGGTTTGACATCGAGGAGGACAATTGGTACCACAGATGGGTATGCTGGAGCGCTTGAGCATTGAGGACCAGCTGCAACCCATGCTGATGTGGCTTGAGGGCTTGGGATTGAGCAAGGCCCAGCTTGCCAAGGTTGTGGCTGGCCATCCGCAAACGATGGCATACAGCATCGAGCAGAACTTGAAGCCCACGGCAGGTTGGATTCGCGGCTTGGGTTTGAGCAAGGACCAGCTCGCCAAGGTTGTGGCTGGGTATCCGCGAATTTTGGGGTTCAGCGTCGAGCAGAACTTGAAGCCCACGGCAGGTTGGATTCTTGGTTTGGGCTTGAGTAAGGCCCAGCTCGCCAAGATTGTGGCTGGTCATCCGCAAATTTTGGGATGCAGCATCGAGCAGAACTTGAAGCCCACGGCAGGTTGGATTCTTGGTTTGGGCTTGAGCAAGGCCCAGCTCGCCAAGGTTGTGGCTGGCTTTCCTCAAATTTTGTGCTTGAGCATCGAGCAGAACTTGAAGCCCACGGCAGGTTGGATTCTTGGCTTGGGTTTGAGCAAGGACCAGCTGGCCAAGGTTATTGCTGGTAATCCGCAGATTTGGGGATACAGCATCGAGCAGAACTTGAAGCCCACAGCAAGTTGGATTCTTGGTTTGGGCTTGAGCCAGGCCCAGCTGGCCAAGGTTGTGGCTGGTAGTCCGCAGATTTTGGGATACAGCATCGAGCAGAACTTGAAGCCCACGGCAGATTGGATTCTTGGTTTGGGCTTGAGCCAGGCCCAGCTGGCCAAGGTTGTGGCTGGTAGTCCGCAGATTTTGGGATACAGCATCGAGCAGAACTTGAAGCCCACAGCAAGTTGGATTCTGGGTTTGGGTTTGAGCCAGGCCCAGCTGGCCAAGGTTGTGGCTGGTAATCCGCAGATTTTGGGATGCAGCATCGAGCAGAACTTGAAGCCCACAGCAAGTTGGATTCGTGGCTGGGGCTTGAGCCAGGCCCAGCTCGCCAAGGTTGTGGCTGGTCGTCCGCAAATTTTGGGTTGCAGCATCGAGCAGAACTTGAAGCCCACGGCAGATTGGATTCTGGGTTTGGGCTTGAGCCAGGCCCAGCTCGCCAAGGTTGTGGCTGGCTGTCCTCAAATTTTGTGGCTGAGCATCGAGCAGAACTTGAAGCCCACGGCAGATTGGATTCTTGGTTTGGGCTTGAGCCAGGCCCAGCTGGCCAAGGTTGTGGCTGGTAATCCGCAGATTTTGGGATACAGCATCGAGCAGAACTTGAAGCCCACAGCAAGTTGGATTCTTGGCTTGGGCTTGAGCAAGGCCCAGCTCGCCAAGGTTGTGGCTGGTTTTCCTCAAATTTTGGGATGCAGCGTCGAGCAGAATTTGAAGCGCACGATAGATTGGTTTCTTGGTTTGGGTTTGAGCCAGGCCCAGCTCGCCAAGGTTGTCGCTGGTTATCCTTGGATCTTGGGATGCAGCGTTGATCAGAGCTTGAAGCCGAAACTTAGGCTACTTAGCACATACTTTGGCACGCCAGCTGTTGTAGATTTAGTCGCGACGTTTCCGCGTGTTTTTTCGTACAGCCGGCAGCGCCTCGCGTGTCGGTTGCGTATGCTATCAGCCTTCAACATGACGGCCAAGCTGGCAGGAGCCTTGACGCTAGCAGACTCTGATTTCATGTGGTTCGTGCTCAGACTCGCCAAACCAGGCGCGCTTGAACATTAGGTAGTTGCTTCCTTTGCATGTGACAGATATACATACACATGTTGGGAGTTTTCGTCTGTCATTCAGATACCTTTGGCGGCGCCTCAAGCAGCGGTTCCGGTTGAGGAAGGTATGGCCTGGAACCATCATGCGTTCCGGGCGCCCGCAATGCGGGTGTTTCTCAGAAGATCGGACCGACTGAAACATGGGAGCTTTCAACTTTCCGACTGGTTTCTTGAAACTTCAAACCATCCAAGCAGGCGGGTGCCCAATTCTCAGATGTTGCTCAGTCCAAAGACTTATCAGAGGCATCCCTACTAAATCACGGCACTGAATCCTCAGATTGATTTGGCTTTCCGGATTAGTCCAAAGTTGACATTAAACAGCTTCAGACATTACTGGAGAATTCCCAATTTCTTGTTGTTTGGCTCCTCGAGTGGCTTCCAATGCTTCGTATAGTTCATGTGGCTTGGGAAAGGCTTAGGCCAGAATAGTCGGTGCCAAACTTTGTGTGGCTTCAGGAGAGCGGACCGGTCAGGAAGCATTCGGCCCAAGGCAAGGAGGGGAAGCGGGCACAGCATGGACTCCCCTTCATTCAACATGGGTCAGTTGTTTCCACACGCATGGTGCAAGGTCTCCATGAGTTTTGGACACCCCCTGTTGCATGGTTGGGCAGGCAATGAACGTAAAACCAGTTGCCTGCAGGAGTTCTAAATGACATCCCCAACCTCGAAAGAATCAGCCGGGCATCCCTATTTTTGAAAGACGCTCCCATCCACTTCACTTGGGCCCATCCTCCATCCAATTGCTCACGCCCTGGCCCGGGCCATGACTCGCCGCCGCCTGGCCGTCTTCGCCTGCCTTTGCGTCGGCGCCTTCGTCGGCTTCGGCTTCAGCGCGCCGGGGTGGTGGCGCCGGGGCCACGCCAAGCGCCCGGGGAGCGTGGCGGAGGCGGAGCTCTTGGCGCAGCTGGCGGTGAGGCTGAAGCCCAGAGCCCAGCTCAAGGAGGGTCCGAGTGAAGAAGTTGACCCTGTGCAACCTATATGTTTTACCGTGGTTTGGTACGTGGGGTTAATTGATTCGGCTTTTTTGGCGTTGTTCATTTTGATTTTGGGGGGCTTGCGGGGCTTGCAAATTTGTAGTGTCTGGAGTGTTTGTTTGTCCTATTTGTTTTATATCGGCTTTGCATGTGTTTTTGGGGCTTTGTTCATTTGTTGTTAGCCCTGACGAACCAGAGGTTAGGGAAGGTGTGTTGCAATGTGGTTGGCTTCAGGTGAGTTTATTGTTGATGTGTTTTGCGTCTTCCGCCGGTCACTAAATTTCATAATCTTCAAACTCCCTAAGATACGAAGCTGAAACGGAATGATGATCTTCGCTGGTTTTCTTTTTCTCAGGCAGGCTAAGCACCCAGCATGGCGCAAGGTTGGCTAGTCGTTTTGCTGCTGAGCGTTCGGCTGCCCTGAACTCCTCGAGCTGAGTGCTAGGAGCTCTTCCGGCGGTTTCCTGCACCAGAAGCCTGGGGGGGCAACTACTTGGAGCCGGATCTGGCGCTGCATGGGGTGATGAAAAGGCCAGATGCGGCGCTCTTTGTGGAGTATGATGGGCTGCTTGCCATGCCTTTCATATTCCTTCCGTGGAGGGTTTGGAAGTTTTTGGCAGCTGGGTTGGCTTTTTGTTTTGGGGATGCTTTTTTGGTTGGACGTTTTGCCTTGAACCTTTTTTGGGCAATGTGTGTTTGCCACTTAGCGATGACCAGTGAAACGATTGGTGCAGGGGTCATGGCCACCAAGCTAAGCCACAAGCTTACCAAGGACAACCAACGCAAGGCGTGCTTTGGGTTGTTGTGGGCTCTTGTTGTGAAGCCAGCCGTCCGAAGAGCGGGGATGCCTGTCT